CCCAATACTGTACCTCCGAATATACGCCCTTACCGATACCCCCATTCACAAAAAAATGAGATTGAAAAGCAAGTGCAAACACTGCAGACAGCAGGGTTTATAAGGACCAGTACCAGCCCATTCTCTAGCCCTGTGTTATTGGTTAAGAAGAAAGACAACACATGGCGTATGTGTGTCGACTATCGAGCTTTGAACAAGGTTACAGTGGCTGACAAATATCCAATCCCAAACATAGATGAGCTGTTGGATGAATTGCATGGAGCCATTGTGTTCTCAAAGTTGGAGTTGCGATCAGGTTATTACCAAATATGGGTAAATCCCTCTGATATTGAGAAGACAGCCTTCCGGACCCATTCAGGACACTATGAATTCATGGTTATGCCATTTGGATTAACTAACGCTCCCTCAACATTCCAAGCAGCAATGAATGACCTCTTTCGCCCCTACTTGCGCAGATTTATACTTGTTTTTTTGATGATATCTTGATTTACAGCCGTACTAGGGAGTTGCATGTCCAACACTTACAAACATCACTGGAACTATTGCAAAAACAGTTCTTTGCCAAGCTTTCCAAGTGTTGTTTTGGTCAATCTCAAGTTCTATTTTTAGGACACTTGGTTACTTCTGAAGGAGTGCAAGTTGATCAAGAGAAGATAGCAGCAGTTCAAGCTTGGCCCATACCTACTAATGTTCGTGAGGTAAGGGGATTTTTGGGCTTAACAGGATATTATCGCCGTTTCGTACGGCATTATGGGTTGATTGCACGCCCCCTAACAGCCTTGACCAAGAAAGATGGGTTTTTGTGGAATGATGAGACAATGGCAGCTTTTACTAAACTGAAACAGTTGCTTATTTCAGCCCCTGTTCTCCGCCTGCCAGATTTCTCATTGCCTTTCATCGTGGAATGTGATGCCTCATCAGAGGGAGTTGGCGCCATCTTAATTCAAGAAGACCACCCCATCGCCTATTTTAGCAAAGGGTTTTCACCATCTAATCGCCTCAAATCGGCATATGATCGTGAACTATTGGCTTTGGTCCTAGCTGTGCAAAAATGGAATCATTATCTTATGGGACAACACTTCTTCGTGCGAACTGATCATTACACCTTGAAGTTCTTATTGGAGCAGCGGGTTACTACTCATGAACAACAGCGTTTACTGATGAAGCTGATGCCTTATGATTTTTCAATTACGCACAAATCGGGAAGAGAAAACAAGGGGGCCGATGCACTCTCTCGCAGACCCCAACAAGTAAA